GAAGGGTTTCGCAAAGAGCGGCTTCTGTAGGGACACCTGTAAAAGGTTCCCTTGTGCAGAATCTCCTACCCCTGCACGAATCCCGTAGAATACAGTGAGCAAGTGTACTGTCTTAGGAAACCCCACGACTCCGACCCCCTGCCTCCAAAAAAACATAAAAACAATTGTGAAAAAAATCCACCCAGACATGGCCAAGCAGCATAATTGCGCAACCATCTTGGCTCACTGACTCCATGACAATCTCACGGAGCGATTTCAGCCTGCTGCAACAGACTGCGAAGTTGGCCTGCAGGCCTTGGTTTGCCTTTCCTCTTCAACCCACCGGTCCTGGTCGAAGCGAACTCCAGGGCCAGGCCCGTGCATCGCACCGCAAGCTGCACAACCTGATTACGAGTGAGGCGTGAGACTCCGGACAGACAGAAACATGCTTGGGGACATTGCCGGCCTCTTCGTCATCTTTGAGCTCCCATGCGGCATGCTCGAGGGCGAGGCCACTGTTCCCAACAGCCCGCAACACCTGAATGTCTGCAACACATGCACCACCATGTCACTATGTTCTATGGTGGTTCCACTCATTGCCACCGCGTCTTCGACACAGCCAAGCTGCAATGTCCTTGTTTGCTTTCAGCTCAGGAGCAACAAACCTGAGCTGAGCAAGCCATTTTGTAAGAACATGCTGTCGAATTGCTCGAATGGCCAACTCAGGCTCGCAGCCGCAGCGCGCTGCCGGACTGCATGACGCATGCCTTGACCAACTCCAAGTCCTGCTGGTTGCGGCTGATGGACTGCTAGGGTAGGTGCAGAAATTCATCAACTACAGAAAATGAGTAGGCACTGGACTTCTGAGAGCCACATTCTCATGGAAGAGCAAGCTAAGAAAATGAGTGGCCTCTGAGCTCACTGACTTGTTTTCTTACCCAACGCTTGCACTGTAGCTTAACTCTCTTCGCAAGACACACAGGTGCTTAGTCACATCGAGCCATATCCCAAAGCCAATGCCACAGTGCGCAAGCGCTGTATACTGGACAGGCAGTGGCCATCCTACGTTCCATGCTGCATCCTGCTGCAGCTCGGGCGCTGCCATCTGCAAAATGGCGCCACTCCTGGACGCTTCAGGCTGGCAAGCCCATGTGGGCTAGCTCGAATGGAGATCCGGTAGGGACCGCTGTTGCTGAAAGCGCTGCCAACTCTGATCCGAAGTCAAAGGCTGCAAGACGGAGCCTCTTTGCAGCTATGAGCAGGAACTCACGGTCATGCAGCACCTGACATAGGTACCGAGGCACACTCGAGTGTATGAATTGCTCGAATCAGTCTTGGTTTATGCTCCGAGCAGCTCGTGGTGCAACATCGGCCAGCACCAACGGATCTACACGGGGGTTTCCTCCGAAGCAAGACTTGCTTGACACTTGACACCGTTCTCACAGATGCAGTCGTGTGTGGGTGCTCAAACGTAGAGAAAATGGCCTGCCAGCATCTTAGCCAAGTCCAGCTTTGCCTGGATCTGCTCTCGGGCGCCATACAACCTCAAAGACGGAGAAACGTGCTGCAGCATTCGAGAAACAGTTTCCGCGTTTCACAAGCTTCCGAGCAGCAGGATAGGAGTGTGCACTTCGGCGGCGGGATTGTTGATCTCTAAGGCCATGAGGAGGAAGGTCTCATCCTGTGGACAAGGCCAGGAGCGACCGAGGAGGGAGGTTGTTTTGATGTCTGCATGCCCAGCGGAAGAAACTTTTGTGCAAATTGCACAGCACCACGGCCTCCTGCAGCCACTGACCTGAGCCAGCGGCATCGAACCACATGCAGCACCCACAAAGCTACGAACTGTCATTGGCATCTCGTCAAAGTGGCATACTTCACTCCGCCAAACGCCGGGATGAGTAAAGGGGCATCGTTCGTGAAGCAGATGCACTCGCAAACCTCGGGCTGTCGGGTTTTTTTCGCTTCCTGGGACAGTTCTGTTTCTCTTTCCCCTTTCGCTTCTGTATCTGTTTAGGAGACGCTGCCTGTATCTGGCTCCAGCTGAGGGGCGATGAAAGGCATATCTGTGCGCATCGTTCATCATGTGCCTGGGCACCCAAAGGAAAACCCGCGGAAAGTGGCCTGTTGTCCTCCCTGCAAAGACTCGCAACAGCTAGACTTCCGAACAGCTGCTCTTGGAGCACATGTCTGAAGCGAGAAAGGCGGTTGAAGTCGCAGAGTTCCTGGAGATCTCTGGCAACTCCTGAGCTGCAGAGCACAGAGCCTCTTCACATCGACCGCAAGCCTGAGGTGCCTGAAAAAAGACCGGCACGGGCTGACTCATCGCCCCGCTCCAGCATGTCCAGCCATTCGGCCTCGCGAAACTCACTTTTCGCGACGTCTCGAACAAGCGTCAAGCCAGACTCGAGAGCAAGGTCGGGCGCAGGAAAGAAACGACATGCTGCCGGACCCATGAACGTGCAGGTTCCGCCTGGGCCTCGCTACACCGTCTTAGGACGGTCACATCGACACCGTCGCAGTAGAACACTTCTGGTGCCACCTCGGACCTGCAGCGTGCTGTGTGCCATGCACTCCTTTGTGGGAAATGGCAAAGTGTCGGGATACCCAGGTGCTGCCAAGTCTCAGAAGCTGGTGGTCAACAGAGCCTGAAACACTCACTTAGCTGACTTGGCTCGGCGCAGGCTGCTGGCAATGAAGCTTCGAAGATGCTCGGTTCAAAGGGCTCTACAGCGCGAGCCAAGCTGCTATTCCGAACCTTGCCACTAATCGACAGCATCTGAGCTCGCTGTGAGACTCCAGACACATCCTGCATGGGGCCGGGTCTGGCAATCCACGTGTCCGTACGTACATGATATATATATATATATATATATATATGTATGTATATATAGATAGATAGA